TGCCATATAAATTCTTTTTGTACATTCTGGATTCCCAGTTCGGTCAAATTGTGGTCTTTGTTTCAGTACTTTATCAGGTCCTTCCTTGGGCACCCCTCTTTTGTTTTCTTTGTCTCTGGATATACTTTGGCAGAGGGGGTGCCTTTCTACCCCGGTATTTATAAATGGTTTCCTCCTGAGAGTCTCGTATCAGTGCCCTCAGGGTTAGGAGCCTTCCCCATGATAACTGGCTGCTTTAATGGGTTTAAGGACAAGGAGCTTAAGTCAGCTTTGAACCAATCCCATCGCTGTGCCAAAGAGCGCCACCGCCACCAATGCTGTCCCCTCAAATCCGCAGAGAGTCGATACTTCTTGCAGAAGAGGCAGGGGCAGAACAGCAGAGGTATCAAAGGCCCCATTCAACCATCTGGTGTTCGGAGTGTGGACTCGGCCCACCACTCACTGGCTGCCTTCCACCCTTTCTTCTTTCTCTTTTCAAATGTCTGCTCTCCCAGGAGTACCCACTGAAGGAGGCCACCTCTTTCCACAGGGTGTACGGGGGCCAACCCGGCCTCTGTCACAGCTTCACTCTAACACAGGGAGAGAAACCAGCGAAGACCGTGACCCAGGACCGCTTTAAGGAGAGCCCCAACCCTTGGGGCGCCTGGGTGGCTTAGTTGGTTAGGCGTCCGACTTTCGCTTAGGTCATGATCTCGCGGTTCGTGGGTTCGAGCCCCGCATCGGGCTCTGTGCTGACTGCCAGCTCAGAGCCTGGAGCCTGTTTTGGTCTGTGACTCCCTCTCTCTCTGACCCTCCCCTGCTCACACTCTCTCTCTCTCTCTCCTAGAAATAAATAAAACATTTAAAAAAAATTAATTAATTAAAAAAAAAAAAAAAAAAAGGAGGGCCCCAACCCAACAGTCCTGCTCCCAAAAGTCTAGAAATTCTCCCAACCGCCAACTCTGGTTGGCTCGATCTAGAACTGAGGCTTGCTGGGTCACCAACATATCACAGGGCGGCACAGGTCATAGCACGAGCTCGCCAGCCCCCAGCAGGACATGCCACCATCAGCGAGCAGAGCTGGTGAGCAACTCAGAGCAAGAGAAGAGAGACCCATGCAATGGTGGTCACATGTGGACATGCGGCTCATGGTGTCCACTGCCATGGCTACCTACTGAGAAGAGGTTCAGAAGTCGAGGGGGCCGGCTAGGTAGCCCCCAACAACACGGGACACAGACACGCAGACAGTAGGAAAAGGCTTCGGGCTCACAAAACAGAGGTCTCAGGGCAAGGCTGCCTGTGAGGCAGCTCTGAAATGGCTTGAGAAGGACCGAAAGGAGCCTGGCTGCGTAAGGAGCGCATTGGGGTTGGGGGGCAGGCAGAGGCAAGAGTTCTGCACACAGGCTGGTTGGAATCTTCTACCTGTTCTGGAGGAGAGACCACCCAGGCTTTCCCATCAGCTCATCCTGCGGGGAGCACAGGGAGCAAGGGGAGGTGGGGGGAGAGGCTTAGGCTGTGGCACTGAAACATCAACAAATGCCAAGTCTGATTGCTCATTACAAGGACAAACATCGGTCAAGAAAAACATGCATTCCCGGGGCGCCAGTGTGGCTCAGTCTGTTGGGCATCTAACTTCCGCTCAGGTCATGATCTCACAGTTCATGGGTTCGAGCCCCGCGTCGGGCTCTGTACTGACAGCTAGCCCAGAGCCTGGAGCCTGCTTCAGATTCTGTGTCTCCTTCTCTCTGACCCCACCCCCACCCCCCGCTCACGCTGTCTCTCTCTCTCTCAGAAATAAATAAAAAACATTAAAAAAAAAACAAGAAAAAAAAAACATGCATTCCCAATTGCTTCTTGAAGATAAAGAAACCCTAACAGGAGGCTCCAGAAATGACTAAAAGTGTGTATTTGGGGGTGGCTGGGCTCAACAGTGCTGGAAGGAACTAGGATTGGGTCCCAGCGATTTTCTTAAGTCACGCTTTCCTATCTTACAAATTTACTTTAAAAAAAAAAATTGAGAAATCTATGTATGTTATACTATTTAACAGTCTTGATTTCATTTTAACTTTGTACACAGGAAACCATTCGAAAACAGAACTTCCTTTAAACACTAAAGTTTACAAAAGCGTAAACCATACAAAATGAAATCTTTCAAATGCCTAACTGGAGGGCCACGGCGTGTCAGTTTGTCCTTCCTCTCTATCACACTCGGCGTATTTTCCAGGCGTAAGTAGCATATTACAGTGTTTTAGGAATTTTTTTTTTAATGTTTTATTTATTTCTAGGAGAGAGAGAGAGACAGCGTGAGCAGGGGAGGGTCAGAGAGAGAGGGAGTCACAGACTCTGAAACAGGCTCCAGGCTCTGAGCTGGCAGTCAGCACAGAGCCCGACGCGGGGCCCGAACCCACGAACCGCGAGATCATGACCTAAGCGAAAGTCGGACGCTTAACCGACTAAGCCCCCCAGGCGCCCCATACAGTGTTTTAGGAATTTGAGCTCAGCTCCTTAAATGCACTGGATTTTCAAATATTCACATAAGCTTTGGGTAGTTTTCCTCACATCCATTAAAATAGGAATTCATTTGTTTTAGCCCGTCAGGTGTCAATGTTCTTTAGGAACAAGTGCATTCACTAACTGATCCAAAAATGAAAAATGACCTAAAGGGGCATCTGGGTGGCTCAGTCAGTTAAGCATCTAACTTTAGCTCAGGTCACGATCTCACAGTTAGCGAGTCCCAGCCCCACATTGGGCTCGGTGCTGACAGCGCAGAGCCCGCTTCAAACATTAAAAAATTTAAAAATGACCTTAAGAAAACTTAACTGAATGCCTCTCACACGTTGAGGTTCTCTTGCCTAAGCAGAGCACAAATTCTACTTAGTTCCACAATTTTCTTGCCTTTCTCACATCTTACCTCTCAATTAACTTAGCGTTTCTGAGCCCAACTGCTAAAGGAAACTAGAGCCAAAGGTCTGTACTATCCAATCAGCAAAGGAACCAAAGGAAAGAAAGAAATATTAGAATCAGCACATATGAGCAGCCTGCTTCCCACAGAACAGAAGGAAAGCCACATTCAGAACGTTCCACGTTCTAGGGGCATCTGTCTGGCCCAGTGAGCAGAGCATGCGTCTCTTGAGCTCGAGGTCGTGAGTTCAAGCCCCACTTACTTAAAAAAAAAAAGTTTCCACATTCTAGATTCTCCTGGTAGAGACAGAAGTCCTGAAGTAGGTCAGTCTGTGGAAAGGGCAATACTGACATCTGAGCGGGGCGCCTGGGTGGCTCAATCAGTTGAGCATCCAACTTTGGTTCAGGTCATGATCTCACAGTTTGTGGGTTCAAGCCCTGCATCAGGCTCTATGATTGACAGCTCAGAGTCTGGAGCCTGTTTCAGATTCTGTGTCTCCCTCTCTCTCTCTCTGACCCTCCCCTGCTCATGCTGTCTCTCTCTCTCAGAAATTTAAAAAAAAAAATTTTTTTTAATTAAAAAAAAAAATTCTGACATCTGAGCAGGCAGAGGAATGAACCCTGGAAGCCCCGCCCACTTGCCCACTTGCCCTCCGGGAAGAAAATCTGGGCGTAATGAACTTGCCTTTGCAGGCTCAAGGGGGCCATCTCTTAGAGGACCATCCTGAGGCCTCTGCCTGCCACTGGCATTGCTTTGCACCACCAGAGACACTTTAAATGACATACACCCAGTGTTCGAACAATCCACCAAATCACTCAAACCCCATGTTTATGTGGAAAGGAGGCAGAAAAAAAAAAAAAAAAACACACAACTGTAAGGCTCAACAAGAAACCTCCCAAATATAAACCACATTCACAAAAATTTTTAAATAAGATATTAATTATTTCCATGAGAACAAATTGTTTTACAAGCTATCAATCCTAGTTGGACACCACAGGTCTGCAAGTCTAAGCCTTGGAAATTCATCCAAACTCACCCAAATTAAAGAACAGACCTCAGAAATACTAGTAATACACTCAAGGGAGGGGAAAAAGTAAAAAATAATAATACCTGTGGTGTAATCTCAGAATTTTTCTTTCTGAAATTCACCCCTTCCATGACTCTCTGGAAATACTTCACACCTGCTTTTCATGTTGCATGGATTAAATAAAGCTTTATTCACTGAAAAACTTGAGACTCAAGTTAATTGAATAAATGTTTCAAATGGGACAACCCAAGGGAGGGGCTGTGCCCAGATCACCCAGGAAAGTTTCAAAGGGTGACTTCCACCCAAAGGACCTCCCATTGATGTCTGTGCCCAGGAAAGATCGGGGGGAAGAGGAGTAAGAATCTCATAGAACGTTGTACCAGGTGGTTATTTGCTACTTTTCCGTAAATTATCCAGGAACAAAAACTAAACCCTTTTAAAAGAGCCATCCACTGACAGCGGAAAACTGACAAATAAATACATGAAGCACCGGGTCTGTTTAAAATGCACCGGACAGAACGAATAGTTCATAATGACGCTGTGAACTGGAGATGGGAAGCGGGCAGGAGGGATTTGAAAAATTAATTCAGGCAATGAATGCCAGTCCTAGGGAGAGCTGGGCGCGGGTGGGGGTGCCGACGGTGCCGCGACAGGGTCGTGGATTTCACGCTTTCCCCAAATTTTGGGAAACTCCGGAGAAAACGGGTCCCCTCGGACGAGAAAGGAGGCAATGGAGACCCCCACAGACCATACACAGCATCTCCCGCGCGCGAATACCAGAGAGCCAGTCACGATTGTCCCCTGTCACCGTGGTCACCGCAGCATCTTCGAGAGAGGCGGAGCTGCGGGCGCAGAGCTGTCCGGAGAGGCTCAAAGGTGGAAGCTGCAGCGCGCAGGGACCGCACAGGATGTCGGGGTCCCGGCCCAGCCCCAGCGCCACGCGCGGAAGGGACTGAGGTCCGAGCGGCGCCACCCACCGATGCGCAGACTTCAGAGTCGTCCGCGGGAGGCCAGGCCACGCACCCGCCAGCTCCGGCCAGTTCCACCCAGCACCCCGCCCCCTTCTCCGGGAGCCCGGGCCGGCCCGCTCACCATTGCCGGCTTTCCCGTGTCTCCCGGCGTTCGACCTACGACTCCCGAAGAAGGTGGGGGGCTCAGCAAGACCGAAGCCGGGGCACCGCGACGTGAAAGACTTCAGCGCCGGCGACCCCCACTGCCAACAATGGCGGGAGCAGAAGCCCCCTGCGGCTTGCCTGCGGAGCGTCGCCCCACCCACCTGCCCTGACGTCTCTCCTGATTGGACAGGGTGCAAGGCCCGCCCACTTTCCCTCGGGAGTGACAGCAGGCCAGAGGTGAGGGGTCTATTGAGCACCAGCTGCTGGGAGCAGCTCCGGGAACTGGAACCCTTCTTTACAAATACAGACCCTTAAAACCCCCCTGGCTGCCTTCTGCTCCTTGACTATTGACAGCGTTGGGTCTTCCACCCAACGCTTCCCCATCCTTATTTCACGGTTTAAAAAGCCCATTGCCTTCCAAGCCTATTGGCTGTGGTGGAAAATTGGAGCCCCTGTCTCAGCTAGGGGCAGGGACTCTTCTAAGAATAACTACAGTTTTTTTTTTAATGTTTTATTTATTTTTGAGGGAGAGAGAGACAGCGTGAGCAGGGGAGGGTCAGAGAGAGGGAGACACAGAATCCGAAGACAGGCACCAGGCTCTGAGCTAGCTGTCAGCACAGAGCCCGACGCGGGGCTCGAACCCACGAACCGTGAGATCATGGGCTGAAGTCGGACGTTTAACCGACTGGAGCCACCCAGGCGCCCCAACTAACCACAGTTTTAAGAGGTGCTGACTAAATTCTCAGGTGTACGTTTTACGCCGAAAGAAAAGTTATTGTAGATCATTGTTTGAATGTATACTTAGAGAACTTTGATATATCAAAGGCTATAATACCCCTATAAGGTAATTCGGTTACTGTTTGAACTGATATAACAAGAAACAAGAAAAGGTTATGTAAATATGGGATGTTCTTGAAAAGTATCACTATGTTTTGCTGGGAGCCGCACTGGCCTCACTGGATGACAAGTCACAGCGAGGAAATGGCAGCGTTTGCACAGCTCCTCCCATGAGAAACAAAAACTGGTATCTTCTTCTGCTACTACTGACTCATGTTGGAAATGAGGCTGCTGGTATTAACCAGGCCTCACAATATTCCAGATCAGACCAATATTCCCCACACAAATCACTTATAAGTAAATGCATATCCCTGCCTTTTCCTTTTTTTTTTTAATTTTTAAAAATGTTTTATTTATTTCTAGGAGAGAGAGAGAGAGAGCGTGAGCAGGGGAGGGTCAGGGGAGACACAGACTCCGAAGTAGGCTGCAGGCTCTGAGCTGGCAGTCAGCACAGAGCCCGACGCGGGGCTCGAACCCACGAACCGCGAGATCATGACCTAAGCGAAAGTTGGGCGCTTAACCGACTAAGCCACCCAGGCGCCCCATCCCTGCCTTTTCCAAAGGACTTCAGATGAAAGCACTGTGGATGATTATCAAAAGGCTCTTCCTAAGGGCCTTGCAGATCCAAAACTAACATAATAAAGGGGGCTAAGAACACAAGTTACAATTGAGTCTAGCCCTGAAACAAAGAGCCTAATTTAGAGTTAAGGGCAGATATCCACCCCCAGCCATTTGTTTCTGCTTGGAGCATTTTTGGTCTTGAATATGCTGATTACTCCCTGTGAAGGAACCTATTGAGGAACTACTTTTGTGGTTATGAGAGCAAAGGTGTTTCCTGGGACACCTGTTTTTCTTGATACTTCCACCTTAAACAAGCTATTGACCCCTGCCCACAAAGAAGTAACTTCACCCTTTTTATGCTAAAAACTTTGTCTGGCATGCTAAAGACGCCTTCCTTCCCCATAGGATAAGCATCTTAATCGCTATTGATAAAGGTTATGCAGAAGTCTTCTACAAATCTATGTTCTGGGAAATTCTTACATATCAAAGAAGTTTGTTATCAGAAATCATTGTCTAAGGCAAATTCCACTTCTGTGCTTTCCCCCAAACACTTAATGATAAAATAAAGTTGAGCCCCAGTCAGAGTGGAGATGCCTGCCTGGTGACCAGAAAGACTCTCGGGCCTCTCTCACCCCTCCCTCACAGACACCGTGCATCCTTCAGGGACCCCTGGACCGGGCCGGAGCTGGTCTGTGACGTTTAACAGATTGGATTGCAAAATTTTTAAAATTTTTACAAAGTTTTAAAAAAAAATCGTTAACATTTATTTATTTTTGAGACAGAGAGAGACAGAGCACGAGCTGGGGAGGGGCAGAGAGAGAGAGGGAGACACAGAATCTGAAACAGGTTCCAGGCTCTGAGCTGTCAGCACAGAGCCAGATGCGGGGCTCGAACTCACGGACCGCGAAATCATGACCTGAGCCGAAGTCGGACGCTTAACCGACTGAGCCACCCAGGCGCCCCAAAAAGTTTTTTTTAATGTTTATTGTTTTTTAGAGACAGGCAGATAGAGTGTGAGCAGGGGAGGGGTAGAGTGAGAGAGGGAGACACACAGAATCCAAAGCAGGTTCCAGGCTCTGAGCTGTCAGCACAGAGCCCCACGCGGTGCCAAACCCACAGACCTTGAGGTCATGACCTGAGCCAAAGTCAGACACTCAACCGACTAAGCCACCCAGGCGCCCCTAGATTGCAAAACTCTTAATGCATACATCTACTTATTTGAACAACTTTAGGGTGGGCATTTCTTTTTTTTAAATCATTTTCATTTTATTTTTCATCATGATAAATGTATTATTTTACCCCTATCCCCTATTTCCCTTATTCCTCCACCCACCTCACCTATGATAACTATCAATTTGTTCTTTATACTTAAGAGTTTGCTTCTTGGTTTGCCTCTCTCTCTCTTTCTCTGTTTTCTCCTCTGCTTTGTTTTGTCTGTTAAATTTCACATATGAATGAAATCATATGGTATTTGTCTGTCTCTGACTTAGCATTATACTCTAGCTCCATCCATGTTGTTGCAAATGACAATGTTTCGTTCTTTTTTATGGCTGAGTAATATTCCATTATAAATATAGATAGATATCACATCTTATTTACCCATTCATTTATCAGTGGATACTTGGGCTGCTTCCATAGTTTTGCTATTTGAATAATGCTGCATAAACCTAGGGGTGCCTTTACTCATTTGAATTAGTGCTTTTGTATTTTGGGGATAAATACAAAACAGTGTGATTCCTGAATCATAGGGTAGTTCTATTTTTAATTTTTTGAGAAACCTCCATACTGTTTTCCACAGTGGCTGCACCAGCGTGCATCCCCACCGGCGGTGCAGGAGGATTCTTTTCTCTCCAAATCTTCTCCAACACTTGCTGTTTCTTGTGTTTCTGATTTTAGCCATTCTGTCAGGTGTGAGGTGATATCTCATTTGTAGTTTCTTTTTTTTTTTAATTTTTTAATTTTTTTTAATTTCTAGGGGGGAGAGAGAGAGAGAGGCAGCGTGAGCAGGGGAGGGTCAGAGAGAGAAGGAGTCACAGACTGAAACAGGCTCCAGGCTCTGAGCTGGCAGTCAGCACAGAGCCAGACGCGGGGCCCGAACCCACGAACTGCGAGATCATGACCTAAGCGAAAGTCGGACGCCTAACCGACTAAGCCACCCAGGCGCCCCTCTCATTTGTAGTTTTGATTCGTATTTCCCTGATGAGTAATATTGAGCATCTTACATGTGTCTGTTGGCCATCTGGATATCCTCTTAAGAGAAATGTCCGTTCATGTCTTCTGCTCATTTTTAATTGGGTTATGGGGGGGGGGGGTATTGAGTTGTATCAGTTCTTCATGTATTTCGCGTACTAAAACCTTACCGGATATGTCATTTGCCAATATCTTCTCCTGTTCAGTAGGCTGTCTCTTAATTTTGTTGTTTCTTTTGCTGTGCAGAAATTTTAATTTGATGTAACCCCAATAGCTTATTTTTGCTTTTATTTCAATTGCCTCAGGAGGCACAACTAGAAAAAATGTTGCTATGGCTGATGTCAGAGAGATTACTGCCTATGCCCTCTTCAAGGATTTTTTTGGTTTCAGGTCTCACATTTAGGTCTTTAATACATTTTGAGCTTATTTTTGTGTATGGTGAAAGAAAGTGGTCCAGTTTCATTCTTTTGCACGTAGCTGTCCGGTTTGCCCAACACCATTTGTTGAAGAGTTGAACAACATTATTTAGATCCAATTCACATACTGTACCATAGATCCCTTTAATGTCTACAACTCACTAGTGACCAGTACATCCATAGATGCATGCAATCATCACCACAACTCACTAGTGACCAGTACATCCATAGATGCATGCAATCATCACCAGTTAATTTCAGGACATATTTATCTCCTAAAAAGAAAACTCTAGACCCTTTACTTATCACTGCCCTATCTTCCTATTTCCCTGTCTTCCTCCTAGCGCCAGCCCTACACAACCATTAACTTATTTTTTGTGTCTATAAAATTCCATATTTGTTGACTTTCAGGGGAGTGGAATTATATAATATGTAGTCTTTATGTTTGACTTCATTCACTTGGTATAATTTTTTCAGCGAATTCCATGTTGCAGAATGTATCAATACTTCATTCTTTTTTAAAATTGAGATACAACTGGGGCTCCTGGTGGCTCAGTCTGTTGAGTTTGGGACTGTGGCTCAGGTCATGATCTCATGGTCCATGAGTGCAAGCCCTGCGTTGGGCTCTGTGCTGACAGCTCAGACCCTAAAGCCTGCTTTGGATTCTGTCTCCTCTCTCTGTCCCTCCCCCGCTCCCAAGCATAATAAACATTAAAAAAAGTTTTAAGTAAAATTGAGGTAAAATTGACATATTAGTGCCAGGGATACAACACAGTGATTTAATATTTGTTTACAGCAATTTTATTTTTTAACATTTGTTTATTTATTTTGGGAGAGAGAGAGTGCACATGTGAGTATGGAGGAGAGGCAGAGAGAGGGGAGAGAGAGAATCCCAAGCAAGCTTTATGCCATCAGCACAGAGCCCTACTCAGGGCTAGATTCCATGAACCTCAAGATCATGACCTGAGCCAAAACCAGCAGTTAGATGCTTAACCGACTGAACCACCCAGGCAACCCTATATATTAAAAAAAATTTTTTTTTAATGTTTATTCATTTTTGAGAGACAGAGTACAAGCAGAGGTGGAGCGGAGAGAGAGGGAGACACAGAATCGGAAGCAGGCTCCAGGCTATCAGCACAGAGCCTGATGCGGGGCTCGAACTCACAAACTGTGAGATCATGACCTGAGTCGAAGTCGGCCGCTCAACCGACTGAGCCACCCAGGTGCCCCCAACCCT